AGATAAGAGAGATCAGAGAGATCAGAGAGATCAGTGAGATCAATAAGAGAAGAGAGATAAGATAAAATAGATATGATAAGATAGATAAGAAAAGATAATTAAGATAGATAAGATAGATAAGATAGAGAAGATAAAGAAGATAGAGGAGATAAGAAAGATATATAAGATAGATAAAATAAGATAGATAAGATAGATAAGATAAGATAGATAATATAAGATAAAATAAGATAGATAAGATAGAAAAGATAAGATAGATAAGATAAGATAAAAAGGAAAGATAAGATAAGATAGATAAGGTGAGATAGATAAGATAAGATAGATAAGAAAAGATAGATTAGATAAGATAGATCCGATAAGATAGAAAAGATAAGATAGATAAGATAAGATAGATAAGATAGATAAGAGAGATAAGAGAGATGAGATAGATAAGATAGATGAGATAGATGAGATGAATGAGATGGATGAGATGGATGAGATAGATGAGAGATGGATGAGATAGATGAGATAGATGAGGTTCATGAGATAGATGAGATAGATGGGATAGATGGGATAGATGAGACAGATGAGACAGATGAGACAGATGAGACAAATGAGACAGATGAGATAGATGAGATAGATGAGATAGATGAGATAGATGAGAAAGATGAGAAAGATCAGATAGATGAGATAGATGAAATAGATGAGATAGATGAGATAGATGAGATAGATGAGATAGATGAGAAAGATGAGATAGATGAGATAGATGAGATAGATGAGATAGGTGAGATAGATAGATAGATGAGATAGATAGATAGATGAGATAGATGAGATAGATGAGATAGATGAGATAGATGAGATAGGTGAGATAGATAGATAGATGAGATAGATGAGATAGATGAGATAGATGAGATAGATGAGATAGATGAGATAGATGAGATAGATGAGATAGATGAGATAGATGAGATAGATGAGATAGATGAGATAGATGAGATAGATGAGATAGATGAGATAGATGAGATAGAGTTGAGCGATAGATGAGAGAGATGAGATTAAATAGATTGAGATTAGATGAGATAGATGAGATAGATTGAGATAGATGAGATGGGTGAGATGGGTGAGATAGATGAGATAGATGAGATAGATGAGATAGATAGATAGATAGATAGATAGAAAGATAGAAAGAAAGAAAGATAGATAGATAGATAGGTAGATAGGTAGATAGATAGATAGATAGATAGATTGATAGATAGATAAATAGATAGATAGATAGAAAGAAAGATAGATGAGATAGATGAGATAGATGAGATGGATGAGATGGATGAGATAGATGAGATAGATGAGATGGGTGAGATAGATGAGATAGATGAGATAGATAGATAGATAGATAGATAGATAGAAAGAAAGATAGATGAGATAGATGAGATAGATGAGATAGATGAGATAGATGAGATAGATGAGATAGATAGATAGATAGATTGATTGATTGATAGATAGATTGATAGATAGATAGATAAATAGATAGATAGATAGATAGATAGAAAGAAAGATAGATGAGATAGATGAGATAGATGAGATAGATGAGATAGATGAGATAGATGAGATAGATGAGATAGATGAGATAGATGAGATAGATAGATAGATAGATAGATAGATAGATAGATCGGTAGGTAGGTAGGTTGATAGTCAGAGAAAGAAGAGAGAGAGGGAGAGAGAGTGAGAGAGATCAAGCACCTTTCAGTCCATCAGTGGCTTCGCTCTGCCATCCGTGATTCACAACAACCAACCTCTCCTATAGGTTTCCTATTTTTGAAACTTCCGCCACCGCCTTGTGCGGTACTACTGGTATAAAATTACGATAAAAAAAACAAAAAAATAATCTTCCTATCTAAACATATATCCCTAAATCCATATTTCATATATATAATTTGAAAAATAAAATCCTATAAAATCAAAATATATGTATATATATATATCTTCCCCATATTTTTTGAAAATCCCAAGTCCAAAAAAATGATTTATTCAAAAATATACATATGAATCAAAAAACAAATCAAAAACTATAAATTCCAATATTTAAAAAATGAATAATATATATATAATATTATTTGTTTAATACAAAAATATTTTCTATATTTTAAATAATTTGGATTTATTCATTTATGTTTCAATTATATTATTAAACTATAATTTATAGATTAATTATAAATATATATATAAATAATATAATATATAGCATTATAAATAAATTATATTGTTTCGTATTTTGCATTTTACGTTCTGCACCCAAAACTTTACACTCCATGCTCTACACTCTACACTTTACACTCCACGTTCTACACGCTACACTTTACACTCCTGACTCCACACTCCACACTCTACACTTTACACTGTACACTTCACACTCTAGTCACTTTACTCTTCATACATGAAGATACAATCATAAAATCCTTACAATGACAATAAAATTGATGATTCTAATGCTTGTTTTTTGCAGTTGAAGTATCATGAATCAGCACAGGGCGCCAGCCACCCCCTCCGTCTTGTCCACGCATTCCAGCAGCGTGCTCCAAATGCATTGCCTGTTCTGCTTGTTGTCATCGATCCAGCAGGCTTTCCTTGGCAGTTTTGCCTATGAGTCGTCCAACATGCAAAAATAAAAAACAGAACGTGTGTATGTATACATATTACTAGATATGTGCATTGATACATGCATATGTACATGAATATGTCTATCTATTATTCAAATTAAAATAATGTGCAAATGTATGCATATATATATATGTATGTATGATGTACAAACAACAGTTAGTTAATATATTTATGTGTCTGTCTGTGCATTTGTATATTACAGGTGGTGCCAGAATTATAGAACGGAGCCAGGAGTACAAAAGTACGGTAAAATACCGTACCTTTGTACTCCTCCGGGTTCCGATTCCGCGCGGAGTCGGGAAATTTAATTATAGAACGGGGATCCGTTCTATAATTAAATTTCCCGTTCTATAATTTCTGGCACTGACTTGATATTTACTGCATATTTGTACATATACAATCTATAAAATGAAGATTTAATGAGTAAATTCAGATACTTTTTTTTTCACACCTTCCGAGGAAAACAGAATTATAGAACAACAGGGTACGGTAAATAACCGGAACCTTCGTACTCCTCAACTTCCGTTCTATAATTCCGGCACCTCCTATATATATTGTTGGTGGGTATTGGCCTAGCGACCTGCCACGCTCAAACAAGACCGTACTCCACAAACGGAAGCAGAGAAGAGTCGAGATATATACCCTCCGGTGTCATCAAACGTAGCTAGCTGGGAAATTTCTGAACTAAATGGTTTATAGCTGGAAAAATAAACGAGCTAAATGGCGGGGTGTTCCAGTGAGCAAGCAGGATGTTTGATTACCAGAGGGTATATGCTGCGGTTCTTTTGCCCTTGGGACCGTATCAATCAGTAAAATTGCTGTTGTTGGATTGGAACGAACCATTATTTTGTTTTTAGTTTGTATCGGCACCTGTGGGCAGCTTGCGAGAATCCAAACAACGACTTCTGCTCATTGGTGGTTTCATTCAAAAACCCTGAATGTAAACCTAATTAACTCCCATTTTATGAATCCTAACAGTAAACTACTTACCACTTTTTTCAGGGTTTCTGGCTTTACGGGGTTAACATCCACGTGGGGACCCCAGCATATCACCCTCTGGATTTCTGCGCTTCTGCCACTCTTATTTTTCTTGAACGGACAAGATAGACATGTCTCCCTTGGCCAAGCCATTCCAAACTTGACTTGTCTCAAAACATGGACAACTGGGCCGTTGGGTTCATGGGTCAATGCTTATGGGACCAATGGTAGGATGAACATCAACGAATTCGACGAATTCCAGGGCCCGTCCTAACTGGCCTTACGGTTCACGCCAAGGTGCTCGCAGGAAGCTTGTGACAAACCTCCACATCCAGTGCATTTCGACCTGATTTTTGATCGTGGTCAAGACACAGAGGGCTTGTTTAAGAGCCAATGACCAATGAAATGGTAACTATATGGGGGGTTCCATAAATGAGGGTACCCCAAAATTTATTTGTAATCGAAAATCCTATTAAAATGGACGATTTCGGGGTACCCAGATTTGGGAAACTTCCATATATGAGGGCTGGATATTCCTCAGTTTGGCACCAAAATGGTTCGCGGTTCGCGGGTCCATTTTGCGTCACTATCGCATGGCAACAGAATCTCGAGAAATATAAGTCTTTTGAAAGTAACCATGCAAACAATTTTCACAAAACTCGCGGCTTGGACACAGCGACAACAGTACACCATCCTACGCTTTGTGTCAGAATTCAGCTGCCGAAGTTCATTGACCCCTCCCCTGCATCCTGCTGTTATTGATTCCCCTTTCATTCTCAGGCGACTCTTTTCGACTTTTCCTGGTGAATTCTGAGATCGATCGTTCTCCATGAATTTTCGTGTGTCAGCTTGCCTCCGGTAAATTGACATAGGATGACAGGAAAATCCAGCAATTGATCATCTCCCGTCATATTCCTAGAACTGGATGATGAAAAATTTTACAGGAACTCCCAAAAACAAACCATTTCAAACATTCATGGTGTTTGGCGTCTGATGTTCATGCAGAACCCCATCCAGCTCAAGGAGACTACAAGTTGCTTATCGTCACAGGGATGGAGGGTGGGCTGAGTGTCATCTTGCTTGCCTCGGCGACAGCTGCCATGTCACGCACCTGAAATGAGGTGTCACACTCCTAAAAACCATTTAGTTGATATACCCATTATATTGGGATAATTCTCCACTTTGGGTCGCGACGTGAGGTCGTAAAATAATTTACGAAGCGATGATTGATCTTGAAGCGAATCCCGGAGCCGTTTGCGACCCCGACAAAAGGACTTGTTTGTATACGTGAAATTCTCCAGTTCGAGAAAGTCAACTCTGGAAAAATAAGCTTCATAAACATCGGTAGATCATTTCGAAGAGTGACCCCCAGAAAAACAATTTTCATGGACAGCAGTTGTTTTCCGCAAAGGGTTGCCATGACGGAAGTACAGATTCACCAGATATCGATCGTGAAAACCAAGCCTTAGCCTCTGGAAGATTTCGCCTGGAAATGAGAGATCCCATATGCAGCAGTTCATTTACATCTGTGTCTGAAAATTTGGGATCTCCCATGGCACCATGGCTTCAATACGAAGCCATATCCAAAAAATGCATGACTTGGGGTACTCCGCATTGAAAAAGGAAAGCTCCGTCCCAGAACATCCACTGCCATCGCCGATGACTTGGGGTCCCAGTAGGTGCTACAGTAATGTCCAGTATCCAGGCCTCTGGGAATTCTGCAGGTAGCTTGAGTGAATTTCAGCCATTCAAAGTGATAGATGAGGTTTAGATCATGCATGATAGATGCTAGCGGGCCTTGATTGGGGAATGATGGTACTACAATTTCCCCTTGCCGGCCCTTGGCATGTTAGGATCCGGATCGGTCAATAAGAATAACTCATCTGGTTTTGAAGGCAAACCAACATAACTATGGAAAGATCCACCGTTTTTAATGGGTATATCAACTATAAATGGCCATTTTTCATAGCTATGTTAGTTTACCAGAGGGTAAATGATCTGGTTTTGGAGGTAACCAATTTTGACTCTCTTGACTCACAGACTTTCCGGACCTCACGTGATGTGTAGCTTGTGGTCCCAGTGCGGCTAAAAGGGAATCATGGTCATCATGGGGGTGACCCACGTATAAATGGGACATATGGAATTCAGATATGGTTACCCTCTGGTAAACTAACGTAACTATTGAAAATGGCCATTTATAGTGGATTTACCCTTAAAAAAAGGTGATTTTCTACAGTTACGTTAGTTTACCAGAAGGTAAAATTAATTGATCTGGCCACACATCTGCGGTCGTCTACAAAAATGGAACCCGAATCCCATCATCCCGGCCATGTCCTGGCCATGTTCTTGCGCTATCAGTACTGTGTCATGATCACTAAACCCGCTAAACCCGTCACGATGAATGGAACACAAAAAATCACCAAGCTGACAATTGGAGAAGATAAAACAACAATATATATATATTATTATATATATATATCACCAATCCTAACCCCTTGATATCATGGTGACGTTCTTTTCTACGTGGTGACATCATTCTTAAATATCTCCCATCGTTATTTCAATCCCCTTGATGATCAAGGCTTCGAATCTTTCCGATTCTCAAAATCCTCATGGTAAACACATCGGATGATTCTCGAAATCCTGAACTACAGTTCTTACAAGATTTATATATTTATGAATAGTCCCATACGTTTTTATATGTTTTTATGATAGTTTTTCATAATTTTATGTACAGTAAATCATTTAAAAAGTCTCCATTTATGATAGGTTCAATCGATTTCAATCCTATATATCGTATGAAATCCCCATTTTTCATATCTAACTTATGGTGCAGCCGTTCCGCTGGGCTGCCCGGACGTATCAAAGCTGTCCTGGACGACTCGTCGCCTCTGAAATCCACTGCCACTTCCATGCCTGGGGACGGTGGGGTGCTTGGGATTTGAGGAATTACCACTTGAATCTTGGGATATGGGGTTTTTATGTGGATAATTGTGGATATACAAATATATAGTACATAACTAGTGAGGTTATTCATTATACATATTACATCATATTACCTTCTTTTTCTTTCACCTCATCCGAGAGATAAACCCTGAACATTGCCGCTTTTTGAAGTCAAACCCCAGCTCATGGCATGGTTTGTCAGTTTGTGTTAGTCCAGGTAGGGTAGTATCTTCAGGTTTGCAAGAGTTTTTAAAGTTATCCCATAGCATTCTGGTTAATATTCCAACCTATCCCCATTTCTCCCGGTATTTTGATGGAATTGTATGGTTAAAACCATCCAATTTTTGCAATCGAAGCGACTTGTTGCCGTCTTGGGATAGCATGTCAGATTTCATATCGATGCATGCTGTATATCTCTGTACATATACATCTGATATATTATCATTATTACAATCTGTATATGTAATTATATTTGTAGATATAAATACATGGGTATAGTCTGGATAAGCCCAATTTGAAGTGTTTTAGAGATGTCGTGCACGTTTCAGAGATGTTGCTCACGTTTCATGGAAGTCGTGCACATTTCGCAGAAGTTGTCGTTGTTTCACAAGCCCCCTAATAACGTTCGTGTTCAACTGCAAAATTATAGGGGGAATTGAACAAACTATCCCAACATAATTCCATTCATATACACCATGTAAAATGAATACATATAATCGTACATATCTCGCAATCACACAGTCTACATCGTGATCATTCTACTATCTCTGTATGTATACCTACATCGTTCAATCACACAGTCTACATATTTCGACAAACCGGAGGACACCCCAATACTACTCTCCATTTAACCAAATGAACGCCGTCACTCATGTACCAGTATGTGAAGACTTGAAACGACAACCTGGTTCCATCCGAGGGAACATTAGGAGCTGCTTCAAGGATCTGAAACCATGGTAAAGCTAATGCCATAAACCATCCACGCATGGGGCGTATGAAATTGTGTATACCCCTGTTCTTTGGGCCTCCAAACCGTTGGTCACTGGGATAGCTCATTATTTGGTTTTGGCTTTACCGCATTCCCCAATTTGCAAAGCCATCGCAATTGGAAGTGCAATAAGTGGATAGATTTCAACAGATGTCACATCATAGTTATGGGCCAATGGGTGCTCCATATCCCAACTTGCGGAGGTTATAACTAACCATGCTTATACTCATTTGTAACCTCAACTGCACCCCCAAGTAACAGGTTGTACCAAGCCGACCAAGCCTATACTCGAAGTGGCCAGGGTGGCTAGCAGCCACCAAAGCACTGCCATGGCGCTTGGCTTTGGGGCGGCCCACTGGTCATGGAAGCCTGCAGCTAGAACCCTGAGCGGCGGTGACAGCGACCAAGTGTTTCTGGTCAGACTTAGAGTCCCGGAGTTTCTCTTTGAATCTGCTTATAATATTTGATAGGATTCCGAGAATGGACTTGATGACATCAAATGCCCGTCGTGAAAAGAATGTCAAGACAAGGAGAGCTACTTTTTGCACCTGCCCATCTACCATCCAATCTGGAAAAAAATGGCAAATTTAGATAATTACCATGCTAACACTTTGGGTTTAGCTGCATAGAGTCTGCATAGAGTGTATCCCCATCCATGACAAAACAAATGAACTGATGAATCTTTTCTTGCTCACCCGTTGGTTTTCCCCATATCGTCTTGGATTTGCAATATGGCTATGCATCAATACCTATAGATACATTTTTAGTGGGATGAACATCCATTTACCAGCTATTTTGATGTTCACCAGGGGTACATGGTTTTGACACACTGCCATATGTTGAAATGATAGAGACTTCCGACTTCATGTTTTATAGTTGAATCCCAACTTTTTGCTACAACCATTCCAGTTGTGGCTTCGCTCTGCAAAGGGCTCTGCAATGAAGAAAGATCCCGTGGCCAAAATACCGTAAGCCATTCCAGTCACCACGAAACATTTATATGCTGTACATGTGGTTGGAAGGAGTCTGATTGTTCCATGTTCTTCCCTTCTTTCCTGTTCTTATCTCAGACTACACTATGTGACAGTTCAACCCGTGCCTGCAGTTTCAAGTCCAATTCCAACCACTTCAACTGCCGCACAGATCCCGATGATCACACCCACGCGTTGGCGCGATTTTTCATGGACAGACTGATCCATCTATTCAAAAGATATGCTTTACCTATACAGGCACGTAACCAATGCTCGCACAGTGTTCTTCGCGTGGTCCAGAATTGCACTGACAACTCATTGAAAGGCATATGGCTTTGTCTGACAATAGGCTACCCCATTCCATCCGACCTATGGTTTATCATCATTTTAAAAAATGACATAAACTAGAGGTTAAATCCAGCATTTCCAGACAAGCCCCTCTTGGTGACAAACCAGAAGTAAATGATACATGTCCATGTTCTGAAAATGTCAATTAAAATGGACTGCCAACAATCATGTCACACGCGTCAAATGTCAAACCCTGATCATTGATTGATACCATCTGATTTAACAGCTATGTACATGGCCATTTGTAGATCATTCACCCATTAAACATTGTGATTTTAAACATAGAAAACTCTTACATTAGATTACCAGAGGCGAACTTCCGATGTTCTTGCCTGAGGATGTTCCCGAACCTGATCCTTGACATTATCAAAAAAATCTTAGCTGGGGCCATTTTTCGTTTCGAGTTCATATGAAATTCCAATTATATGTGGTGGTTCAATACCAATCAAACATCACTGGGCTGTAAAAATGACCAGCAAATTGAAATATGGCTTTCAAAACTACTAAAATATCACTGTACATAGATCTACCATAAAGTAAATGAGGCTTTACATAGTGAATGTCCTTTTAACAGCTTTTAAACAGCCACAAAACTGTGAACAACTTGCAATTTCAGCGAGAAAACTTTGAGGTTCTCGGTGTTCTCAACACCGTGTCACACGGATGCTGCGCTTTCAGCGTCCAGCAACCAGGTCCTTGACGCGCGAGTCGTTCCAGGTGGTTAATCATGGTGAATCTAAGCTATTGAAAATGGCCATATAAATAGTTGATTTACCCATTAAAAAAATGGTGGTTTTCCATAGTTATGTTGGTTTACCAGAGGGTAATATATATATACACATTATGTAAATAATGGTGAATATCTATAATATTGTAATAATGGCTATATAATTTAATAGTGATAGTGGTTAAGAATGGTGAATATCTATATTATATATAAGGGTTCGTGGTCAATACAACAGGTACATCATTTCCGAAGAAAGGACATCCAAACATGATATGGCTATCTATCAAATTGTAGTCGCTGGTAAATTGATGTAGCGTAAATGGATGTTTATCCCAGCATTCATTTGGGAAAATCCTAGGTTTTGAGCAGTCCCCTGCAATTCGAATCAAATTAGACTAGTTCTTCTTCAACCGGGCTACATTCTTGTTTCTTTCTTCGGGTGGGTATTATGCCACAGCATCTCTGGTCGGTGATTTTAAATTTGGGAGCATCATATCATTTTAGGAATGGAGTGTGAGAGCATGAAAAATGACTCAAACCACGACCGTCCAAATAGACTTACAATATACATCTATACATACATATATATATATATATGTCAGTACATATGATTAAATATATAATTGTAATGCTATATATATATGTATATATATATGTATATATATATGTATATATATATATATATGTATTTATATTGTATGTATGTATACATATGGTATGTACTGTAAATGCATACCCATTTATATCACTATACAATATGCTACAACACCCGTGTTCGCTGGTTTACCGTTTTGCTGCCATGAGCTGAGTGCCGCACAAACGCTGGGGCCGTAGGAGGCTTGCCGGGCAGGACGGACTGCGCGGGGCGCGAGGTCTCTGGATAGCTTACTGGTGCTTAGTACAATGTGAGGCCCCCAAGATAGCTATGGTTTATGGTATTTATAACTATCGTTACTGGGGCTTATAAACCAACCTATATCTTGGGGGCCTCACATTGTAGGGAATGAGGGAATGATCCATAATCACTAGTAATCATCCCAGCAACCCCCAGCAACCCATCCATTCCCTACGTAAAACGCACCAGTAAGATAGTGGGAGGGATAAACCGTCTAGGACCTACATGGTGGATGATAAATGCATGATTGATGATGAATGGACCATAATTCTGAGTCAAGTAAATAGAATAAACCAACCTGAAATGCGGATTAGATTAGATTTGTTTGGGATAGTGACCCCCTGTGAATCACTATTCCAGGGACGTGGCAGTGAAATTGTTGTCTTTCATCATTCATCCGCAGTAAAAACTTGGTCAATATTTCCTATCAAGGGTATGTTTCTTCCAGAACAGCTAATTTTGAATCACTCCCTTGTAATAGCTTGGCAATTGGGTTAGATAACTAAGATGGAATTACTATCCAAGCTGTAATCAATATCTAATATTGGGGCACCTTGAAGCTTACACTTTCTGACAATCTGACAAAAACTGGGGGACATCCTCGATGCTGGTTCATGAACACTTCTGTACATGGTACTCTACAAAACTGGGAATCCTGCCTTACAATCCTTATATAGCCTTATAGCCAATATACAAATCATATAGAAGATGTCAGCCATCTCCCTCAAAAATGCGGTCATTTAGGCAAAACGAAACCAGCAACCACCCAAGACTTCGACTTCGGACTGATTGCTCATTGTAGCCCTCGAATTTTGTTGGCTATTTAAATTCACCAAGCACTTTGTGCATATTCACTTTGGAGGCACCAGTCTGACATAGATTCGTGCCCTGCAAAAAGGATCCATTCAAGTACAAGTACCTATATCTAAGGATTTTGAGTTACCCAAAAAACACATGTCAGGTCTGAGTCTATGTCGGGGAACATTCGCTAAATCAAAAGGTATGGGTGTGCAATTCTTTACATGTCCTTATGTGACACGCTTGATGTTAAATGATTATGAAACTGATCAGAATATTCTTCACTACAAATACCGTCTGGTAAACTAACATAGCTATTGAAAATGACCATTTGTAGTGGATTTTCCCATTGAAAATGGTGATTTTCCATAGTTATGTAAACGTTTACCAGAGGGTATACTTGAAAACGTTTTGAGCTCATGTTAAACCAATGTCCGCTTCCATGGTTAAACCACCATGTTTGACTGTGAAAATCCCCACTGTAAGACTCCAGCAGTTGGATCACAGTCTAACTGATTTTTTTCTGTCCCTAACTATGGTTCAAAATCATTAAAACAAAACCATTATTCATCACTGTTGATGGATCATATATTATTAACTACGGTTGAAATCCCCATTCCTGATGCTTAAAATTCCAATTTACGCTAGTTAAACTAGCCTGTCGATGTCTTCGATGCTGAAAAAATGATGAAATCAACATCATGAACTCATGAACATCTTAAAAATTGGATAAACAAATCAGGTTGATGGTTTCAACCTACCCCTCTCAAAAATCATAGACTTCGTCAGTTGGGATCATGAAATTCCCAATATTAATATTCATGGAACAATCATCCATTCATGTTCCAGTCAACACCAACCAGAATGAGTTTCCTATTCAGCCATCCATTATCATCCATTATCAAACAGAATGATTTACCCATTAAAAATGCTGGATCTTTCCATATAAATCACGTTTTTACCCATGGTTTTCCCATAGTTTGATTTCCAGAGGCTACCCATTTTGCTGGGCTTTTTGAAAAACGCCGGCCTCGGCTCGGCCAGGGCCGTGGCGACCGTCGCGGCGCTCGCTGCGCCGGTGGCGACCAGCACCTCGTTGCGTTTCCCAAAAGATGACCATATGGCAGTGGGTCAAAACCTTGTACCCCTGTAGTTCACATCAAAATAGCTGGGATTTATGGATGTGAATAACCCCCATACCAAATGGTATTTTCATAGGTATTGACACATACCCATATGTAATCACGCTGACTGTTTGAAAACCAGTGAATGATGAGCAATTGGAATATATTGGTGTCATCTGACAAAAGCAATCCAGTGTTGAAGCTGGAAGTGTTGAAAGGTGAATTTTTCTGATCCACAGAGTATTTTGATGTATGTCGACCTAGAGTGAATTATGAATAATCATGATTCCCTTGGAGTCGGTCTCCTCATTTTGTCGCCCTTTGAGAGCGGAGCGGTCGTGCAATCGTGCCACATGGCGACAACACCACCCCTCTACATCACCTAGTTCTCCGGCAGATCGATGATCTCACATGATCTCACATGATCTCACGACCAAACAGCCAGGAGGGACATGCTACAGAATCCAAAGAAAGATGCCAGGAAACTTCGCTTCTTCCAGTTGCCCTTTCCAAGAATCAATGAAGGCAGTAGCATATGATACACGGCAACACACAACAAACTGCCCGCAGCAAAGCAAATCAAGGCCGCAGCACCGGCTCCCTCAAAGCTGCTTGCGAGGAAAGTACCAAGTCCTATGCCCAATGGAGTCATCAAGGAAAGAAGAATCAACAATGTCCACCAGGCTCTCACAGATACCGTGTCCAGCAGCAAAGATCCAGCAGAGAAGGCGGCAAACAGTTTGTGCGCAATGACTGCAATCAAGACTTCAGAGAATTCGGACATATCATCTGCAGCTCCAGTGGCAGTTCCCGCAATGAAGGAATGCAGACATAGGCCTACGAGAGCCGACATACCTGCTGTGAGGGACTTCCCTGGTAGGACGGCTCGAGGCTGCTCATCCGCATTTGACTCATTCTCTGAACCGGAGTCCTCCATCACATGAGCTTCAGATTCTTTTTCTAGCAAAAAGACTTCCACTGAGAGAATGGTGAGGAAACCAATACCCAGCAGAACATATCCCAATGGAAACGCTTCGGCCGACTTGTTTCCACTCAAGAAGACTGCCATGGCAACTCCCGGTTCCTCCATCTGGTCACTGGCATCAGCGAGCATATGAACCAAGGTAACAGCCAAGAGGATTCCACCAGCCAGGGCATTGGAAACTCGAACGATCTTCGGAGAGAAATTCGCCACACACTTTGACAAAGCAGCGCCACTCAACGCCACGATGAACAAGGCTCCTGCCGACACAGCCTTTACGGTAGTCAGCCGAGTCGACTCCATCCCTTTGCACTACACAAGCAACCTGATCCTCTTGAACCAAAACCTGCACAGGCATATGCAATTCTACGCATACAATCACAGAGGATTGTACCACATGACCTGACGAAACCAAAAGTTGGAACAAGTTGCTTCACCAAACATCAAGGCAGAAGGAGAAAACAACATGAAAAAGACCCACAACCAGGCAAGGTCACAGCGCATAGGAATCAGTCATACCAGGGTGAAACCATGGTTGGAAAATTCACCATTTTTCATGGGATATATTTATATATATGGTAAATTCAAAAATAAAAACTACTCAAGGAAATTCAACTAAATAGATAATATACTGTTTAAATCTATTTGATAGATCATCTACCAGTAGTACCGCACAAGGCGGTGGCGGAAGTTTAAAAAATAGGAAACCTATAGGAGAGGTTGGTTGTTGTGAATCACGGATGGCAGAGCGAAGCCACTGATGGACCGACAGGTGGTTGAGGTCTCTTCTCTTTCTCTCTCTGTCTGTCTCTTTCTCTGACTATCTACCTACCTACCCACCTATCTATCTATGTATCCATCTATCTCTCTCTGTCTATCTATCGATCTATCTATCCATCCATCTATCTATCTATCTATCTAGCTATCTAGCTATCTAGCTATCTAGCTATCTAGCTATCTAGCTATCTATCTATCAATCTAGCTATCTAGCTATCTAGCTATCTATCTATCTATCTATCTAGCTATCTATCTATCTATCTATCTATCTTATAATCTATCCAATCTATCTAATCTATCTAATCTATCTAATCTATCTAATCTATCTAATCTAATCTAATCCAATCTAATCTAACTATCTATCTATCTATCTACCTATCTATTTGTTTATCTATCTATCTATCTATCTGACTATCTATCTATCTATCTATCTGTTTATCTATCTATCTAACTATCTATCTATTTATCTGTCTATCTGTCTGTCTCTCTGTCTATCTGTCTATCTATCTAGCTACCTGTCTCTCTATCTATCTGTCTATCTGTCTACCTGTTTATCTATCTATCTAGCTAGCTATCTATCTCATCTGTCTATCTAACTATGTATCTATCTACTTACCTATCTACCTATCTACCTATCTACCTAGCTACCTAGCTACCTAGCTATCTATCTATCTATCTATCTCTATCTCTCTCTCTTTTTTCATCTGTCTATCTGTCTAGCTGTCTACCTGTCTATCTGTCTATCTATCTATCTGTCTATCTGTCTATCTATTTACCTACCTATCTATCTATCTGTCTATCTGTGGTGCAGTGCCATTCAGCGTAGTGTAGTGTAGTGTAGTGGACTCTACTGTAGTGTAGTGTAATTAGTATAGTGTAGTGTAGCGTAGTGTAAATGTAGTATTGTAGTTGTAGTTGTAGTTGTTGTTGTTGTAGTGGTAGCTAGCGTAGTGTAGTGTAGTGGAATGTAGTGTAGTGTAGTGTAGTGTAGTGTAGTGGAATGTAGTGCAGTGTAGTGTAGTGGAATGTAGTGTAGTGTAATGCAGTGTAGTTTAGTGGGGTGTAGTGGAATGTAGTGTAGTGTAGTGGAATGTAGTGTAGTGTAGTGTAATTTAGTGTAGTGGGGTGTAGTGGAGTGTAGTGGAGTGTAGTTGCGTAGTTGTGTAGTTGTGTAGTTGTAGTTGGGTGTAGTGTAGTGTAGTGTAATGTAGTGTAGTGTAGTGGAAGGTAGCGTAGTGTAGTTGTAGTTGTAGTTGTAGTTGTAGTGTATTGGACTCTAGTGTGTAGTATGATGTAGTGTAGTGTAATTGAATGTAATTGAATGCAATTGAGTGTAGTGTATCTATGACATAACCATCTTGATGGTGAATTTTATGGATGGCATATGCCCGGTTTTTTCTGGTTCTTGTGGTTTTCTTGCCACCATTGATACAGAACGGGGATTTTTCCTTGCCAGCAATCATGGGGAGATTCAGAACCATCAACAGTGCGGCACTGGGCTTGTCTGGAAATGGCAGAACTTGACTACTTGACTGGTGAAACATCTTTTATCATGAAGACTTAAGCTGAAAGTCACATGGGTTGCTGGCAATCCATGTTACACAACCGGTGCGAACGTCAAACGGTTTGTGGGTACAACCGGGAAAAAACTAAGGTTACGATGTTTCACCACTGACATCACTGGAATGGAATAGTCACCCAAATATGGGGATGGTTTATCAGTTTGAGCAAGCCAAAGCAAAAACCGTAGTGAAATCCATATCACAAATATGGGTTTAAACTTTAAACTCTAAATCAATAGGCATCTGGTGAAAACATGTTTATTTTCAGCCTGTTGTTTGTTTTTCAATGTATGTGTGCTTTCAATCAGTTGAACTAACAAGTCACAGTGTGCCCAGAACAATGGCATGCTCTTAATGCCAAGGTCAGAAGGAAAATGCAAACTCAGCCTGTGACCTATGGTGAAATTGACCAGATTGCCTGCAAGAATGAGGTCTTTGCAAGAAAATGATTCAAACATCTTGGAACGTATTGTTTTTTGGGATCATGTCATTCCCCTGTGCCACCTTCGTCAACATCGTCACCTGGGTCACCCAGCAACACATCGCGCTGCGTTCATGAAGTCCGGCGCCGCAACGGCCGCCTGGCGCGATCTGGGATGGAGGTCAACGACCCTGCCATCGGGGTTGGGGCCTTGGGGGTTGGAAAATTAGGGAAACCACTCGGAAATCACGATATTTATGGCTGAATTTCAGGGTCGAAGTGTTGATATCTGTTGGTTTACCAGAAAATACCCTTGGAGAAAGTCATGATGTTCATTGATGATGTTCCTTAGTGACGTCAAATTGCCAGAGGCTATTGAACACCCAAATTTCCACGATTTTTCATAGACCAACGAGTCGTCAACGAGGTCTGGTTTGCGGGGTTTGATCCAAAGAATACTCGGAATCCTTGGCCGCGAAATGACTTGTCCCACATCCGCTTAGAATGTTCTATCACTGTGATCTGATTATTACATTCAAGGAGAGAACATTAAAACAACTAAACCTAACATCCAAGGCATTTCATGACGAGTAGATCTAAACTCTTCTAAAAGTTGCATATTTTAGTTCTGGAAATGCCTTAGTTCCTTTGGTTTTCCAGAAAAATTGGTAAATTATTCCTGGATGTTCCCAGTGATCATGCTGGGTGACCCCAAAAAACCACCGGTTAAAAAAAACTCGGATCCTCCAAGTTCAGCACATTAACAACATGTTTTTCGTTGTTGAAAATCCATATCCATGGGTTCCAAGGAAATAATGACTCCACATGCTGGATGTTCTATATCTTTCAATATCTATGTGAATGCGTGAAAGTAATCAAGGGTGGTTTTAACGCATTAACTATCCCGTGAATTATTGGTTGCACTGCGGTTGTCAAAGATGGCTGAACAATCCCTATTATAGATTTACCCATAAAAAATGGTGGTGTTCCATTGTTGTGTAAACGTTTATCCGAGGGTATACCATCATTATCTCTATTATATCCCTACTTGGATGTGCATCCCACTTTCTAAGTGGTGTATAATCCATATATATATATATATATATTATAACCGTATAACCCATATTTCATCCCATAAGCGGGGATATTCCATCAATTGTTACTCGGGGTATAAGCCATTTACGAAGTGAAAAGCACCCCCAAGTCATCCCATTACACCTCTGCGCCGGCTTCTTCGATGGGTAGGATCAACTGGCTAGTCGCTTTTTCGGTCGCTGGTGCGGCCGTTTAAACGCGATGGAAAGTGGGCATGTGAAGATGTATATTCCTAGTCTATGTAAATAAGTTAATTCTGTTTGCAACACTTTATGCATATGTATATATATATACATACATATCAAACTTATAGAGATAGTGTGTGTGTTTGTGTGTATGTGTATAAATAAATACAATCATTTCTAACCAATATTAAATACATGTAAATCCAACTGTACTTGATTGTAAATACATGTAACCCGTAAATATTGTTGGAGTGTATAGTTGGCACCACCCAGGTCACCCCCCGAGATCATCCCAGATCCCGAAGATCGGTTATTCAGAAAAAAAAAAGCTGGTGAACGTAGATAATCTGATGCCAAAAGACTAAAGTTGTGAAGGGGGATTTTAGCCAACCTCTGGAAACCATAAAATGAATTAGTAAAAACACAGAAAAAATAGTGACTAAAGAATAAAAGTACCCATCCAGTTGGTTAACCTAGAATAGTAATCACACACCTGAGAATAACTGGGTATAATATGATCAAAAAGGCGATCAAATTATAACCTTATTGTTGATAATCAATGATTATGAAATCATACTGTAAAAGGTATATAGTAAAAACAAAAAAATACAAATGCAAAAGAAACATTTTATGACATAATGACATAGTTGATGATGCTTGACCATCACTTATGACATAATGACATAGTTGATGATGCTTGATCATCATCGAAACTCATGGGATTTTTTTTTGCCATCCCTCAAAATCCCCCATCGCTAGTTATGTGGTAGACTCGCAAGCTTAAACCAGCCCTATCACCATAAATGGGGTGCAAATCATGACCATCTTCCCCGGTAGTTGTGAAATTGGCATGGCTGGTTTACCAATGGTAAACCAGCCATGCACATTTCCCCTGTTCCATCCCATTATACTGGTTGCTGAGTAAATATTCCTATGAGGGTCACTTCATAATCCCCAATGAGCCTGTTAGCCAGTTACATCTTATGTTCACTCACCAAAAGCAGTATCTTGAATGAACCTACCATTCCAAAAAATGGGGATGATGTTTAACACGCATTTATGGTGATGTTAAGGATGGTTTGTGGCTTGAGGATGTGTGAAAGTTTAAACTAGTTAAACTTGATCACATGCATTGCGAATGGTTCCTTATTTCTATCTGTTTTTTGGGCCAGTGATTCTGCCTTGCCACTGCCCAGCTCTTTCACTTCAGACCTTGCTGCTGGGGGTTGGGTTGGACGGGTTCCAACAAATGCAAGAAATGGTGGGAAAGTCAACCGACGTGGTACTAGTGATACGAGTGCGCACATATGTATAAATTCTATTTATTATACATATGTATAATATATATATATAAATAATATATATATAT